ATCCTGTTATTATTTAAAAATAGGTAATAATTATGGTTTGAAGATGTTTATATTGTTTTCTTTTTTCAGCTTGAAGCTCTTAAGGCTACAGGAGACGCTGATGTTTTTCACTTTTCCAGGTATGTCATCTGTTGTTTTTGATGTGTTTGAATAAATAGGTTTTATATGGTGTCATGGTCATAAATGGCCAGTGTTAAGCTGCAAGCGAGTTTTGGATTCTTTATAACTAAATTTTATAATCATCATATTCAATAACTTAAAGCACAATCTATGCATTTTTTTAGTTTAAAAAACAATAAAATAAATAGCCTTTTAGAGCTTGATTTGAGTGGTTTGAGGTTAGCAAATAGAGAAGTAACTAATATCAGATAAATAGCCTTTTATCGATGTTATGTTTGTTTTGATACCATCTAACGTCATAGAAACTGCAGGACTAACTAATATCGGCGAAATTGATATTTGAAGTAAGATGTTTTAAATGAATGTTGAAAAAAAAATAGGTGTTCTCCATTTTCACTAATGGTAATCAACAAAAGGTGACAGTGTGATGACTGATGATGGAGTGTTGGACGGTGATTTGGAAGAAGATAAAAAAGAATAGTGATATTGACTAAAAAACCTTTATGTATGTGTTCTGCATTTCGATTTTTTTGAAGTATGAACAGTAAATGATCAAAAAAATTATGTATGTGTCTCATATATAAATGAAATCAAAGTCATATTATTATTATATCAAAAATAGAAATCATACTTCTTCAAGGATATTTATTTCTTCACTTATTTGTTAATATTATAATGATGCTAATTGTTTGTCTCAGTTTGTTCCGACTGCACCGAGCTCAGATGCTGAGAGCATGGTTAACTTTCAAAAAACGAAATGGAGGTGCCAAGAATTGAAAAAGCTTCCTATATTTATGTTTCAGAAATCTAGATCTTTCTAAAAAAAAGTACATATATTTTAGGCTAAAAAATAATAAATATCTTATATTATCTGTTTTTTCAATAGGATGTGAATCTTATATCTTCCTTCTGTGGAACCTCATGGACAAACATCTGATTAGAACGCACTTTGATAAAACACACTGATCCTAATTACTTGGATAATACATTGTAAAAAGATGAAGTTTACTTGTTTTATGCATGCAATCATTAAATTAATTAGTTTGCGTGTATTTTAAGTATGTTATATGTTACTTAGTTCCCGTTCGAAAGACTTGCCAAAACCATTAATATACAATTACTTTTAACATAAAATCGTAGTATAGTTTTATTTTTTATTCAAGTTATCAAACATATTATGATTTAGGGATGAGCATATGGACCGGGAACCGGCCGGAACCGGTACCGGCACCGGAACCGGAACCCGATGGAACCGGTCGGGCCGGGACCGGGACGTTATTTTTGTGGATTTTTGGAATCGGGAACCGATAGGAACCGGACCGGTAGAACCGGCAAAAACCAGTAGAACCGGCAAAAATCGGAACCGTATGATGCTATTTTTCGAGGACCGGTTCTAACATTTGAAGACACGACAAGAACCGGTAGGAACCGGGAACCGGTAGAACCGTTGGGCCGGTTCGGTTCTTGATTTTGGCCGAAGCCGGTTCCCGGGCCGGGTCCGGTTCCGGCCGGTTCGGTCCTTTTGCTCATCCCTATTATGATTTAAAGAAAAAAATATCAACATACAAAAGAGCTAAAATATTTTCTTTGAAAAAAAAAACAACATATTTATTTTAATTCATAACCACATACATATCTTAACAAACTTTTTCTTAGTAAAAAAGTTTTTTCAAAACTCAAATCATAAAAAGGGTATATAATTAATATATGTAGGGTCCCAATAAAGATTAATGGATTTTAACATATAATAACCTTACGAATCAGAAACAAATTACGTGTTAACCTAAATATGGCAATTATAGTTTTTTAACAAAAAAAAAGTTAAAACAATGTACCATTTTACCAAAAGATGGCAATGTATTTTTTAACCAAAAAAGGGCAATGTGCTTTTCTAACAAAAAATGACAAAATATTTTTTTAAACCAAATACACAAAAACAATAGCAACGTACTTTTGTTAACCTAAAAATGGCAACGTATTCTTGACAACTCAAAAATAACAAAGTTCTTTGTTAAACCAAAATATGAGAGTACTCTTTTTAAACCCAAAACATTTTCATTTCTAACCCAAAACATTAAAGAAATTATTTTTAACACTTTTATTTTCAATCCAACGCAACAAGATATTAATTGTCAAAATAAAACTGATCATCAAAATAAACATTGATAATTGTATAACGAAATATACATGATATAGACTGTTAAAAAATTTAAAGTCTTAAGTCCCAAATGGTAAAATGATAGAAATCAATCAAGACTCAATTACTAAAGAAATCGAAAATTGACGATAATCACAAAAAGCCATCATTAATGGAAATTCACAGAATCGATAGATAATCTACACAACAAGTTCCTTAACACCTTTCTCATTAACATCATTAGCATCAAAGAGTTACAGGACTTACATCCCTTGTATTATTACGAACAATAACATAATACTTTTCACTCAAAAGTTAAATTATCATTAGAAATCATGTCTTTTTGGAATCACTTAAAACTAGCTTACTGATCATTTCTATAGGGCCGTGATTATCACGGCCCAAATATATATATATATATATATATATATATATATATATATATATATATATATATATATATATATATATATATATATATATATATATATATATATATATACTTCATGTCCACATAGAATAGCTACTACCATCATGGGTATTTATGAGTCTTATAAAAACTTGGGTGCTATAACTCACCCATCCTTTTAAGAAGATTTTGTCTCACTAATATTTTATGTCAACAGATAAGAAGATTCTTTGGCCTTAACTCCCGTACCCTTCCAAAATTGCATAAGGGGGCTATCTTCATTTCGTGATAGTCTGAGCTTCATCCTTTTTACCATCATGTCATAACATTACTTCATGTGTTCACTTAGGAAACGTACTTTTCTAACTGCATAGAATAGAAAATATGGTATTATTTCAGCCCGAACTTTATTTAATATGTTAGATTGGATTGAAAAATCGCTCAATTCGTTTAGTTAGACAGATCGGGTTGGATTATAATTTTCAACATGTTTGGAATAGGTTGAACTCAAAGTTAATTAATTGTCACCTTAATCATAACACACCATATTCTAAGGGAAGATAGTCATTAATTCCATCTAGAATAAGTTTGAGATCGATATTACATGTAGATTGGGAGGGGGGAATTCAATGAAGTTTACATAACAGTTTTTCTCAATACACAACAATTTATTTATGTTTTATATGATTGTACAATACAATCTTATAAAACATAAATTTTTATGTATTGAGAAATACTGTTGTGTACGAATCAGCTCCTATTCGATGACCAGATGGCAAAATTAATGGAGTTAAAACAACTATTCTCAGTTAAAGCCTTAAAGGAGTATCGTTTAGACCAATGTTTTAAAAACCGGGTTGGTCGTCTTACCGGTTCGATGGTTCAACCGGTAGAACCGTACCAAAAAACCGGATGACATCATTATTACATCGTAATTAAATATATAACTATAATATAAAAACATCTAAAATTAAAATACCAATGAAATTTAAATAAAAAACTTATGTTGGATTAGCACTTTTTACTTTATAATTGAGGTGAAAAAAAAGGTTTTGTAAAATAGCCATTAATGATTAAACGTCAATTCATATATGTAAATAATTAATTAAAAATAATAATAATATAATTAGAAAAATAAAAAAGAAATGAAAGAGATGCACTAAATGTAAGATGGTTGCTTGGTATTTTTTGTGGGAAAAAGTCTCACATCACTCAGAAAGAGAAACATTGAGGAGTGCCTCTCACTATAATACATATTCCGGTTTTCAAGTTTAAAAGAAGCAGCTACCAGCTAATTCTGGTTCATGCTGCTTACTCCCGATGCCAACCGGATTTAGTCATAAAAATTTAGTTTTTATATATTGAGCAGGTTTTTTGCTGGTTAAATCCGGTTTTTTTATGAACCGGCTTGACTTGTTTTACTTGTTCATTATCAAGGCTTGTTTTCAAAACCATGATTTACATGCATTGATTAGATGCATTGATTGGTATCAATTGTATTTTGCAGCTCTTACTAGGTGATGCATTAAGTTGTTTTATTACAGGATTAGAAGATGAGAATGTTAACCAAGAAGCAAGCCTGTGCTCTTGTTGAAATTTAAAAAGCCAGCTGATCTCATGAAACAAAGGAGAACATGCAATTCACGAGTTGTAATGAAAAGCAAGCTTGCCGGATATTCCAACAGACAAAGGACTAAACCAAATTTGCAGAAAAAACTTTAAGCCATGGCTTTAGTAGGAGACCGGAAAATGGGGTTTTAAGTTGAACACACAAATAGGGTTTTGTTAGGTGGCTCCAACATTTTGTAGTGTGAATCAATCAATAACCGCAATATTAAAAAGGGTAATAACAATATCAAACGAAAACACAATTGATGTGGATCAACAATGACCAAGAAAATGAGAAAAAAGCAGAAAGAAATGGGAGAGATGACTTAGGAGCAATTTTCTAATATATTCCCCACAAAGGCACGTAAACCACTACTTCCTAAAATGTTGAAAACATGGAAACCTGGGCATCCCCACAGTCTCCATTCTATCACAATCCTAACTTCTTCGGAAAACAGGAAAACAAAAGCAATAAATAAAATAGACCAATAATTAATTAATCCATGTTTACGAACAGATGATTTCAAATACATCCCAAACAGGGAAGTTTTGAAATGGAAATGAAATGATGATATTGATATTATTATTATTATTATTTGGTTGCAGTTTGCCTGCCATCTGGAATAGCAAAGAGAACAATGGGCTTCGAAGGTGTTATGAAAGGAACATCGCATCTGAAGTAGCCTTTCCTCTCCAATTGCAATATGTCTCCACGTTTCAGTCTTCTCATATTTGAATCCCCAACACCCCCAACCTCTTTCTTTGTATCCTTGTTCGCCACTGGAACAATATCCTCTTCATTTTTTCCAGCTGCAACAAAAACACACAATTAATTAGAACTAGACATTTTCAATCTTCATCATCATGATAAGGGCATTTATGTCTTTTTTTTTAAACATCAACATCTGTTGCAGTCTCTGGTCTAATGCATGTCAAACACAATAAAACCAAAATGTGAAACTTGCTAGTAGAAATTGTTCCATAATTATATATTATTATTGAACATATTAACTAATTTTTCTATTAACTTCTCTTATTAAGGCAATGTATTTTAAAAAATCTACTCAATTATAGTGGTACAATTGATTTATTTGTATTTGGACAAGACTGCTATAATCAGGTAGGTTTTTCAAAGTGCAATGTTGTAATAGGAAAAAACAAAAGTTGAATGCTATTATTATTATTTAGCAATTATGATACCTTCTTTTTCGTGATTAGGTATCCGAACTCCACTAGAGTTAATGGAACAAGCTCGTTAGTGTCAGGCAACCACGTGAGTTTCAGTTTAGTGGTCTTAAACAATCCCTCAAGATGCAAAACCCCAATTAACTCTGTCACATTTCCATTTTTGTCCTTTTTGATTTCTTTAACAATCGCATTTCCCCAGTCCATCAACGTAATTTCCTCGTTAGGGGATATGGCCTTAGCATCGGCTTGTTCTATCCAAATCTTTTTGGTAAAAGTGGTGGCTTTATCCCCTGCAGCAGCGTATTTCTTGTGCTTCGGTATGACACGCACAAATGGCTTGTGGGGCCCATCTAATAAAGTCAACAAGACCCGGTTCTCTTCAAGGATTTGCAGTGTGTCTGGGGCAAACAGGGTCGATCATTTTTTTGTTAATGTTCCAGAGTTTGTCCCATTCCATAAGATTCAGATTCTTTGAAGCTCCCTGTAAAAAAAGAATGAATATCAAGATTAACATAATAAAAGAGTAAGCTTTTATTGTTATTTTTAGAAAATGAAAACATAAGTTAACTGAATTCATCAAACTTTGTTATAAAAGATTTGCAAATTTTCATTCCATTCAATGATTAAGGGATGAAAAATTAACAAAACAGAAGAAATTGAAACAAACAATCAAACATTTTTCATTCCATTCCATTCCTTCTCAATTCCATCATTAAAAAATATAAATAAATAACTACCAAAGAGAATGAATGTGTTTTTATATGCCATCTCGGAAGTTTTTTACTTTTTCAATATCATAAACTCCAATAACAGGCATAATGTAAATAGAAAATTGCAGAAATAGCAACATACTTTACTCTCTTAACCAATATTTTATTTTTTACCCACAATAACAATGTACTTATATTTCTTTACCCATATTACAATAGCATAGTAACATTTTTTAACCAATTAAAGCAAACTTACGTTTCTTTACACATAATAATATACTTACATATTTTAATAACAATATGTAGCAAATAAACCCATAAAAACTAATTGCTATTATTTGTAAACAACTGAAGTTCATTGCTATTATGGGTAATGTAATGTAATTATGTAAATGTGTTGCTATTATGAGAAGAAACATAAAAGTACATTGCGACTATAGGTAAAAAATATATATAAAGTAAGTTGGTAATTTAGATTGTAGAATATACTTACTTGGTCAAGTATAAAGTGTATCAAAGCCTGAATTTGTAAGCCTCTGCGCACAATTCCTTGGACAGTTGGAAAACGAGCATCATCCCATCCATCAACCTTGTTGTTTTCAACAAACCAAAGCAACTTCCGTTTACTTAAAACTGTATAAACCATATTCAACCTGCTAAATTCATACAAATGAACTTTCCTAACCCCCATATCCTCTTGAATCCTTGAATACTGAGGATTTCTATCATGATACTCACTGGATCTCAACGCGTGTGTAATCCCTTCAATAGAATCAACAAAAGGACATGCAAAATCATAAGTCGGATATATTTTATACTTTGATCCGATTCGGTGATGTGGAATCGGATTACACCGATAGTAAACCGGGTCCCGCATTGATCCATTTTTACTGCCCATCTCCAATTTACCCCTTAAACAACATTGAACTCCCTTTTCCGTTCCAAGAACCATCTCGTTCCATAGTTTGAGGTTTTCATCGACACTCTGATTCCGACACTTTGATTCTATTTTCTTCTCTCGCTCATACTTCATTTGTTCTTTTGGGGTGTCGTCGACGTATGCTTTCCCTTCTTTAATAAACTTTTCAGCCATTTCCATGAGATTCGAAAAGTAATCGGAAGTATATGTGATTTTTTCATATTTGATTCCCAATGTCCCGATATCCCTTAAAATATTATCAACAAATTCATTGCTTTCTTTTGCAGGATTTGTGTCATCAAACCGTAGGAATAATTTCCCTTTGTATTTCTGAGCAAAATATTGGTTCAATAAAACGGCTTTTGCATGGCCTATGTGGAGATAGCCACTTGGTTCCGGTGCAAATCTCAACAAAATTTTTCCCAATTCAGCATATGGAAGATCGGCTTCAGGGCGATTGGAATCATTATCATGTTTTACATTTGTTGAACAATTGTGCTCTTTTTTCTTTAAAGATGCTGATGTTACAGCAGCATGTTGTGTAGATATCATGGTGTACCATCGACCCAAGTTTTGGTACTTTTTTGACTTTAATAAGCTTTCCCATCTCTTACCAGCTCCTGAAGGAATAAAGATATAGTATTAAAATGGACAAAAAAATGAAAGCATTAATTAGTAACGAGATTCATTTACCTGCAAGATATGACCAGATAGCAATATCTGCAACCGATAAACTATGACCAACTAAGAAAGTGCGATGCAACAAATACCCATCAACATACTTGCATGCGCCCTCATATTCTGAACCACGAGACAAGATAGGGGCATACTCCAGCCACTCATCAATCTGAAAAATCAACAGAATGTAATTAGTAATAATTCTTGAAACTAAGATCTTCATTTGATTATGTGCTTTAAAAAGAATTCACCTGCCTGGTTTCAAAGGCATCACGCTCATACAAGTTAGGAATGGTTGTTGATGTGCGACCAAGATACTTGACAAGTACATTTGTTCCACGTAGCTTCAACCTATAAGAAAAAAATTTGTTCGAGTCAATAAATTAAAAACTGAATATTGCTAATACTAGTTTCTTTGCAAAATCCATTGCATCTTATAATTTACATCAATCTTCATTGGAAAGACTCTATTTGACTCACATTATCTCAAGAGAACATTTATCAAGGCAAGTAACTTCCAACAATTGGATGTATTTGCTGAATCAAACTCAAAAAAAAAAAAAAAAAAAAAAAACAAAACAAAATAAGCGATACCTGTTGGTTAGGACAAGGATAGGCGGAGAGCCGACCGTGAGAGTTGGATTGACTGTGAGGGAAACTCCGGCAACTTCCGCCGTAGCAAGCACCGACAGAGGAGGCGTTGAGTCAGCAGCTATTAGCAGCTCCATCAAATCGTTACCTAGATCACTTCTCGATTTTGTTATTTGCTAACCTGGGAAAAGTTGAAAATGGAAAAAGGTGACGCCAAAGCTTCCAACTTCAAACTACAAAGTATAAAATTTTCTCGCCTTCGTTTGATTTTGACAGTGTAGGTTTTAACAAAAAAAATAACTTAGAAAGGGTTAAACAAAGAAGAATAAAAAAAACGGATAGTTAAGCTTTTATATCATATAAGCATCTTAACAACATTATTCAAAACAATGTGTATGTTCGCATTAATTTCATAACAGTAGCAATGTGTATCTTAAACCTGTTCATAACAGTAGCAATTGACCAACAGTAGCATCCTATTAATTTCTATAGGTGAAAGTTGGAGACATCGCAAAGATTTCGAACAGTAGCAGGAGAGATAACCAAGGATTTCACACAGATTTCTTGTTCCCTATCTAAAAGTTGCAGACATCACACAAATTCCGACTTTTACTAATAAAACTCATCAGGGGAAAAAGGAAAACAGATATCCAGATGAACCAAAGCAGGAAAATTGATGAAAATCAAACCTAAATCGAATCTGTGGGATGCCAAGGTCGCAGGTCTAGCTGTTGGGCGATACGGTCTCCGGCCAGTGGCGGCGATTGCAATCGGTGGCCAGCAGGGAGGAATCGCTTGAGGAGCCGACGAGAATGGAGGCGTCTGTGTTCTTGTATCGCAACCGGCGAACCCTAGGTTAGAAGGTATAATGGTCGATTCTAAAATGTAGGAATGGCTTGGTGCCTCTTTGATTATTGGTTCTAATCGGGCCCAACGGGGGACCGGGTACAAAATAATGGATTTGGCATGCTTGATATTGCTTCAAAAGCATTGGGCTCGGTCCAAAGCAGGATGAACTTTAGAACCACTACAATCCAAACTGGATCGGAACCAGTCACATTTAATATAACGGTTCGGTTAGTGGTTCTCGAATTATAGAGAAACCGGTCCCGGTTTTAAAACCGGTTCGAGTCCACAACAAACCGGTTAAAAAACCGGAATCGGTCCGGAAGTTTAAGAGACTAAATCCATGCAAATATTTTTTTGAAGATATTATTTTATTCTCCAAAATCTCAATCTATTCGAGTATTCCTAATTAACCTAAACAAGAAGTTCTGACTGAGTTAACTTCTAACTGAAACTTACTGTTTGATTTTGCATGTGTCTAACTGTACAAAATAACTATATTACCTTCAAAAACTACTTTTTAAAATAATTCTTTTATAATTTACCATTTAATTTATAAATGATCATGTTATACACAACACAATTATGTAAAATCAAGATAGAGGATAAAAAAAAATTATTACACATTCTAAATGTTTCTCATGAATACAAAGTTCTTGGCATATTTGAAGTTGCAATAACAATAAAATTCCAACCTTGTACTAGTGATGCCTAAAAAGTAAAAACTCAAAAGCACAATTATGTAAAAAATTTCATTGAAGCCAATATGCACTGCAATCTAGTTTTGTAATTTGTACTCTCCATTTCTCCCATGCCTGATATATCCATTATGAAGGTACATCTCCTCTCTTCCAGCTTTGATAACTGGTTTCGTAAAGTACATGGGATTGTGACCATATGTATTGTATATTTCAATTGCATAGCACTGTATGTATTGTGATTGTTTTGTTTCTTGTGTTACTAAATTTGCTTTCCTTATTTGTGATATAAATAAAAAATGGTTGATGTTTAGTTTTCCCTTATTGTTTGAAAAATCCATGTGTAGTATGTCTAAATATTTGAAAAATCCATGTGTGGTCTTACACCTAAGTACTTGAGAAATCCATGTATAGTCTTATGCCTAAATGATTGAATGATGTTTAGTTTGTTGTTGTTGTTGTTTTGTAAAAATTATATAAAATCAGTCATAATTCCCTTTTTGGTGATTCTAGTATCATTGGAAAGATATGAATGTATAGTTTATTTCATTTTTGTATCTCATAAGCTAATTCATGATAATAAAGATGGGACGTTCGACGATCCATTAGTCAAAGAACAATATGTACATGTTAAATGCATAAAATTAGAAGTATATTGTTGTTTAATGCTTAAAGTGGAGTATATTGATGTTTTTGTACAAAACTTAAAGTATATTAGTCAACTTTATAAAATACAAAATGGTTTAGTTCAAGAGCTCATCTAACTGAGTTCCAGTTGTAACATCCCAAGTTCCAGAGCAAGAGATTGGGGGGGAGGGGGGGTAAAATGCAAATGGAGGTTTGGACTCGGCGAGTTGGAGGGGTAACTCGGCGAGTCGAGTCGCGTGTGGACCGCGTGAATAAGTGACCCGACTCGGCGAGTCGGGGATGGACTCGGCGAGTCCATGCTGGAATATGAAACCCTATTTTCAGGGTTTGCACCCTATTTAAAGAACAATATGCCTTCATTTCAGCCTCTATCTTCCCTGAGTGTTCCAGAGAAACCCTAAATCATGAGAGACTCCATTGTTGAGAAGAGTGAAGCTTGGAAGAAGAAATTGGTGAAGAAAATTTAGAGGAAGTTGAGGATAGCATCAAGAGAGCTTGTGGATCTGAAGTCTACATCAGTTTAGACTCATCTTTGGGGTAAGAAGTCACCTCCTTAAGCCTTTTCCTTATTGTCATCCATGGTGGTTGTTTTGGGGTTTTTAGCTTGTTTGGAATCCATTTCGGGTTTAGAGGCCAGATCTGAGGTTGCAACTTCAGATCTAGGTTAGTAGTGAGCCATGGAAGCATAAAGCATTGGCCATGGGGCTTGATGGAGAGTATCTTTGTCCCAAAACCTCCTTGTAGCTTGGTTGGAGCTTGTTGAGCCTTGCATGCACGTAAAGTTGGAAACTTTACGTGTGAATCTGGCCCTAGGAGCCCAGATCTATGTATTGGAAGCAATGAAATGGCCTAAAATCGTCTGAATGAAGATATTACGTTTGAACTCGGCGAGTCACATGAGTGCACTCGACGAGTAGTATGAATATGTGCATGAACTCGACGAGTTGAAGAACAACTCGGCGAGTCTGTTGAAGATTGCCTTGGACTCGGCGAGTCTGTTCTTGGACTCGACGAGTCTGGTCGCAGAACCCCAATCTTTTCTGGTCAAACCTTAAAGCAGTGAGTCGGGAGGTGACTCGGTGAGCTGAGTCGTGTTATGGGAAGTTCTGAGTATAGGGACTCGACGAGTCGACGGGTCGACTCGGCGAGTAGAGTCAGTCAGGAGGTTGACTTTGACTGAGGACTTTGACTTTGACCAAGAGTTGACCAATTTGTTTACCAAGGGTATTTTGGTGATTATTGGTATTTATGGAATTGATTCTTTGGTAATGTTCGGTGGTGGAGTTCGTGTCGGTGATCGGAGCAGCTGATCTTATCCTTTCAGTCGGCAATTGCGAGGTGAGTTATCCTCACTACATCGACAGGGTCTACGGCACCAAGGCCGGCCCTTTATCGGATGGAAATCCGGGTAGTTGTTTTTATGTTATTGCTTTGCTATGTTTGCATCCTGGTAGTTAGGATGGTATGTGTTAGAGACCTGGTTAAGGTCGGTACCCGGGATATAGGGTAATGTTATGCTAGTGACCGGTTAGGATATTGATATGCTATGTGATCTGTTAGACTGTTTGTCTGGTTGAGGATTGTATATGATTATATGTTTATGTGCACATGGTTGTTGGACTGGGGTTGGGTTGAGGCGGGTCCTGCTTTGTGCTGTAGGCCAACATACCCAGGGCGGACCGGACATTTCCGAAGGCCCAGCGAGCGGTCCGGATAGGCTGAAGGCCCCAAGAGGGCTGACCAGACGTGCCGAGGCTCGGAGAGTGGACCAGGCCGACTGAAGGCCCGGTGCGGGCGGACCAGTCATACTGTAGACTCAGAGTGGACCAGGTGGATTGAAGGCCCGGTGCGGGCGGACCAATCACACAGTAGACCCGATGTGCGTGGCTGTTCTATTTGTGATATGTTATGAGTATGTTATGTGCGGTTGGTATTTTGGGGGTGAATCACTAAGCTTGCGGGCTTACAGTTGTAGTGTTATGTTTCAGGTACTTCAGGAGATTGTGGCAAGGCGAAGGCGTGATCGTACCGCTCCTCATGTTTTATGATTTATATGATATGATTCTGGGGGATACTCTGATGTTTAAACTATTTTGAAAACGAGTTGTATGAACGTAATGGTTTTTGAATGAATTAAAATGTTTTAATTTGGCTCAAATTTTATGGGTGTTACACCAGTCTTAGTGTCCTCCAACAATACAACCTCAGCAATACAACCAATGTGGACCCACGTAGTTGCATTTGAAAAGGTCTTGGGTGCTCATAGTGGACATGTTAATGGTATCGAACATAAACCTTCTTCAACGGCAGGTTCTAATGCTTTCTTTGAGGTGCACTCACACTTACATACACAACAACATATATATGTTCTTAACTAGCAAATTTAGTTTATTTAATTTAAAAGTATTTAATAATTTTTTTATGTCGATTATTTGTTATAAACTATGGTAATCGGTAGTTTGAGGATCGTATATAAGATCCTTTTTCTCTTTGCAAGATTATGGTCATAATAATATCCAATGATCGTAAGATCCTACCAAAATTATTTTATAAAATAAAAATATATATTTTCATACAACAGTTAACAATTTATTTAACAGTATATGGTTTAAACTTTAAAGACTTTTCTAGAGATTTTTTTATATGTACTAAACTTATTTGAAGAAAATTTATATTTATTTATTAAAAAACATAAAATAAATATACCATCTACATCTTTTTCACTAAAAAAACTCATATTTTTTAAAGAAATCATATTTTTTTATTAAAAACATAATAATGATAATTTATATATCATTTTTGGGATTTTTGTGATTCTCTTTAATAAATATCATTAATCCAATTATAAAGATATTATCAAAATACATTTCCTAAATAGAGCTCCATGATATACGTGGCCTAGAAACACACTCCTTAGAACAAATCAACACAAGTCATATTAATTGTATTTATCATGTGTTTTTCTGATTAGTGTAACTCTTATATTAGGGTTATTAGTAAAACGTTGTTTGGGATCATTCTATGATTTGGGGCCGTGACTCGAAGATCAGTTATCATAAGGCTTTGGGCCTTGGGGGAAAGAGAGATTTAGAGACCTTTGGATGTGGGTAATGTAGATTAGGTGATCCGAGAGTTCGGTTGGTGCTTTGGAGCCCAATGGTATAACCGTAAAGTGTTAGTTCGAGCCTTTTATGAATTTTAGATTTAATTTCGGAAAGTTTTAAGGCAAAGGGGAGTTGATAAGATTGTAGAGATTCTCATTACCTTTTCGTGGATATAAAGATTGTCAAAATCAGAGTTGAAACGAAGAAGTTATGACCGTTTGAAGTTAGGGCGGTTTTTGGGTTAAGCCGTCTAGGTTGGGTGTAGTCAACGTGTTCGTTGGACGTACTAGGGCATCCCTAGTACGATGGGCGTAAATTGAGTACATTAGGAATACGTGATCAGTGCCCAAACCCTATTTTCGTAGTTTGAGCCGTATTTAAGCTCCTTAACTCCCCCAAATCCATTACATTCTCAGCCTCCACCTCTCCAACACCCTCTCTTGTAACCCTAACCCTAGATTGAACCTTGTGAGCAAAAAGAAGGTGTTTTTATGTGCTTTGGAGTGTTCTTGGTGCACCTTGGAGAAGAAGTAACTCATTAAAGAAGTGTCGGTTGCATTGGATCTTGTAGATCCAAACTTTTTTCACCTTGGTATTTCTTCTAGAG